CGCTGAGAGCAGCAGTGCTGAGGCTAGCAGTGCCTCTGAGGAGGTTGCTGAGAGCAGCAGTGCTGAGGCTAGCAGCTCGTCTGAGAAGCCCGCTGAGAGCAGCAGTGCTGAGGCTAGCAGTGCCTCTGAGGAGGTTGCTGAAAGCAACAGTGCTGAGGCTAGCAGCTCCTCTGACGGGGTCGCTGAGGTGAACAGTGCTGATACTGCCACTGGCTCTGCGAAGCCCGCTGAGAGCAGCAGTGCTGAAGCTAGCAGCTCGTCTGAGAAGACCGCTGAGAGCAGCAGTGCCGAGGCTAGCAGTGCTTCGGAAGAGGTCGCTGAGAGCAGCAGTGCCGAGGCTAGCAGTGCTTCTGAGGAGGTCGCTGAGAGCAGCAGTGCCGAGGCTAGCAGTGCTGAGAAAAACAGTGCTGAGGCTAGCAGTGCCTCTGACGGGGTCGCTGAGGTGAACAGTGCTGATACTGCCACTGGCTCTGCGAAGCCCGCTGAGAGCAGCAGTGCTGAAACTAGCAGTGCTTCGGAGGAGGTTGCTGAGAGCAGCAGTGCCGAGGCTAGCAGTGCCTCTGAGGAGGTTGCTGAGAGCAGCAGTGCCTCTGAGGAGGTTGCTGAGAGCAGCAGTGCCGAGGCTAGCAGTGCTTCGGAAGAGGTCGCTGAGAGCAGCAGTGCCGAGGCTAGCAGTGCNGAGAAGCCCGCTGAGAGCAGCAGTGCTGAGGCTAGCAGCTCGTCTGAGAAGCCCGCTGAGAGCAGCAGTGCTGAGAGCAGCAGTGCCGAGGCTAGCAGTGCCTCTGAGGAGGCCGCTGAGAGCAGCAGTGCCGAGGCTAGCAGTGCTTCGGAAGAGGTCGCTGAGAGCAGCAGTGCCGAGGCTAGCAGTGCCTCTGAGGAGGTTGCTGAGAGCAGCAGTGCCGAGGCTAGCAGTGCTTCGGAAGAGGTTGCTGAGAGCAGCAGTGCCGAGGCTAGCAGTGCCTCTGAGGAGGTTGCTGAGAGCAGCAGTGCCGAGGCTAGCAGTGCCTCTGAGGAGGTTGCTGAGAGCAGCAGTGCCGAGGCTAGCAGTGCTTCGGAAGAGGTCGCTGAGAGCAGCAGTGCCGAGGCTAGCAGTGCCTCTGAGGAGGCCGCTGAGAGCAGCAGTGCTGAAACTAGCAGTGCTTCGGAGGAGGTTGCTGAGAGCAGCAGTGCNTCGTCTGAGAAGGCCGCTGAGAGCAGCAGTGCTGAGGCTAGCAGTTCGTCTGAGAAGGCCGCTGAGAGCAGCAGTGCTGAGGCTAGCAGCTCGTCTGAGAAGCCCGCTGAGAGCAGCAGTGCTGAGGCTAGCAGTGCCTCTGAGGAGGTTGCTGAGAGCAGCAGTGCCGAGGCTAGCAGTGCCTCTGAGGAGGTCGCTGAGAGCAGCAGTGCCGAGGCTAGCAGTGCCTCTGAGGAGGTCGCTGAGAGCAGCAGTGCCGAGGCTAGCAGTGCCTCTGAGGAGGTTGCTGAGAGCAGCAGTGCCGAGGCTAGCAGTGCCTCTGAGGAGGTCGCTGAGAGCAGCAGTGCCGAGGCTAGCAGTGCCTCTGAGGAGGTTGCTGAGAGCAGCAGTGCCGAGGCTAGCAGCTCGTCTGAGAAGCCCGCTGAGAGCAGCAGTGCTGAGGCTAGCAGCTCGTCTGAGAAGCCCGCTGAGAGCAGCAGTGCTGAGGCTAGCAGTGCCTCTGACGGGGTCGCTGAGGTGAACAGTGCTGATACTGCCACTGGCTCTGCGAAGCCCGCTGAGAGCAGCAGTGCTGAGGCTAGCAGCTCGTCTGAGAAGCCCGCTGAGAGCAGCAGTGCTGAGGCTAGCAGCTCGTCTGAGAAGGCCGCTGAGAGCAGCAGTGCTGAGGCTAGCAGCTCGTCTGAGAAGCCCGCTGAGAGCAGCAGTGCTGAGGCTAGCAGCTCGTCTGAGAAGCCCGCTGAGAGCAGCAGTGTTGAGTCTAGCAGCTCGTCTGAGAAGCCCGCTGAGAGCAGCAGTGCTGAGGCTAGCAGCTCGTCTGAGAAGCCCGCTGAGAGCAGCAGCGCCGAGGCTAGCAGCTCGTCTGAGAAGCCCGCTGAGAGCAGCAGTGCCGAGGCTAGCAGCTCGTCTGAGAAGCCCGCTGAGAGCAGCAGTGCTGAGGCTAGCAGNGAGGCTAGCAGTGCCTCTGAGGAGGTTGCTGAGAGCAGCAGTGCTGAAACTAGCAGTGCTTCGGAGGAGGTTGCTGAGAGCAGCAGTGCTGAGGCTAGCAGCTCGTCTGAGAAGGCCGCTGAGAGCAGCAGTGCTGAGGCTAGCAGCTCGTCTGAGAAGGCCGCTGAGAGCAGCAGTGCCGAGGCTAGCAGTGCCTCTGAGGAGGTTGCTGAGAGCAGCGCCGCCGGCTCCGGTGGTGTGGGCCTCTGCACATGGTTGTCGCCTGGTGTGTCAAGGGTCACTACTTTGATGAGTGGTGTCAAGGAGGGATTTGAGATTGTTGTTGCGAATGATGGTGTGTTTTTTGTTAATGGAAGTGGAGGTGGGAAAGCACCTTCTGGTGGTGTTCCTGTTAATTTAACTATGGAGTGCGAGGAGCGCAAATTGGGTTCCATGGCTCGCTTAGGTTGTGTACAGTTCCAGTCCGCTATTAAGAGGAGTTTGAGCGCTTGGCGCTTGCCTAATGAGTCATTATATATTGCTCTGAGTCCAGTTTCTGGGTATCATATCGAGTATAATGAGACCATTGTGGTTTCCGTCGCTGGCGAGGATCTTCCGGCTTGTGCCTTCCCCAAGCCGGTTGCTGATAATATGAAGGAGTATCCACTGGCGGCGGGTGGTGAAAATGCATCGAGGACAATTTCTTCCTTTGTTCTGCGCCTTAATGTGCTGCCCGAAGATGCGGGGAGTGTGGCGACTGTTGCCGGTGAGGCCGGTAACGTGGTGGGAATGATCTCTATTCTCGGTGCACCATTTGGTGTGTTGGGAATTAACTACGTGGCGGCGCTTAACATGATGCCGTGCACTCCGGACGCAACGCGACGAATTTTGTCAAGCTTCCGCAGTCTCTCGCTGACAACTATTGAGGACTCGTTCTTTGGCGTGCTTGTGGGTAACCTCATCCTTGGCGTCGCGGTTCTGCTGATGCACACGCTGGTGATGGTAGTGGCGAAGGTGACGAGGCGGGATAATTGGGGAGATGCGGCGGCGCGCTGCTGGTACCCCGGCTTCTCGCTGTTGGTGCTTGTCAACCTCTACGTGGGAACCAGCTTTGCATCGATGCAGGGCTTCTCCTCTAATGATGGCTCGATGCTGGCGCTTAGCGTTGTCATGTTTGTCGTGTTCGGCGCCGGTCTTGCGGCCGTGCTTTTTGTGGCGATGCTGAAGACAGAAGCGTTTTTCTACACAGCTGCTGTGGTGGCACTTCCGGACGAACGCAAGACAGTGTTGAGCCGCATCGCCAACTGCTGGCTGCTGCGCATGCGTGGTGTTTGGCTGCCGAATGAGGTGGCGGGCCGCTACTTCCTTGTACTGATAAACTTACGCCGCAGTCGCATTGTGTGGGTGACGCTGTGGATGTGGGCACCCACAGTGGTCGCCGTCTTTGCCGCGTTGCCGGTGGTGTCGGCGGCCGGCTGCGTGGCGTCCGACTTCGTGCTTCTCGTCTGCCACGTCTTCTTTTTCGTCATGGTGGCGGCGTTCCGCCCGCTTATCTCACCGCTGGACAACGGCTATCTGATGGTCGTCATGGCGATCAGCGTGTGGATCATCGCCGGCAACATCGCCCTCCTCGTGAAGCCCGACAACTACCGCGCGGAAACGGCGGTGTTCTCCGCCGCGATTGTGGCCATCATTGCCTTCTTTGCCTTCCTCGCGCTCAAGCTGCTGCAGCTGACCGACTCCAAGGCGCGGGCGCGGGTGACGCACTCACTCTTTGGCTCCTTTGCCAACGAGCCGGTATCGCAGCGCGACATTGTTGTGTAACGCACACACGCACTTCTTCTTCCCTTTTAATTGTTTTATATTCCGTTACCAAATTGCCTGCACGTGTGTGCGTTCTCTTCTCTCAGTTGGTTAAACCGTCCAATCGTTCTTTTTTTTGTTTTTGTGCGCCTTCTGCCGCCCCACCCCTCCTGCTGGTGGGCGCGGTTCCTGCTGCATCAACGGCGTCATTCCCACGTCTGCCGTGACGCGTGGGCTTCCGCGGGCGGCCGCAGCCAAGCCACCAGAGTTTAGAGCCATCCGTCTATATATCTCACTGGCGCTGTGACTGTTTCTATCCCTCCGTACTAATTTTGTTTGTCGTTTTGACCTCCTTTACCTATTGTTTGTTTTACTATGATGGTTTACCTGATGCCTTTGACGCTTCGTGGTGGTTTTTACGTCGTGCCTCTGCTCTACAACAAGAGAAATAACAACGAAAAACGAAACACAGTTGTTTTATTTCGCGACGGAAGCCACAGTGAAGGGCAGGTTCTCTCTAACCACACAAACACAACAATAAACGGCACGCGTTGCTGCTGCTCCCGGTGGTGGGATGCATGTCTCTCTTTCTCTGCATGTGTATGCCCAATGACATGCCAACACACAAACTTTCTTTTTTTTCTCTTCTGCCCGCTCTTCTTGGTTCATTCTTAGGGCTCCTTGCCACAGCAGCAGTAGCAATAGACGGCGCCACGTCAAGGGAAATGTAGCGGTACAGCAAGCGGACTCATTGCACACACACCCACACCCATTAGACACACATAGGGGGAGAATGTTTGAACCCATTGGTGCATGCGTGCAGGGGGAGGGAGAGAAGGAGAGAGAAAGGTTCCTGTCAACACCGGGTTTGTGCAGTGGCGCAGCGACGACAGAAATGTTCCATCTGTAGCACAGTGCGATAGCTGGCACCGCCAATGAATGCTTCCGCCATGTGTGTGCCCGTACGCCCACACAGATGCGCACGCAGGAAGACAACGGGCTGCGGTCAGCATCACTGCGGTGGCTGGGTAGGACGCCTTAATGGGGGGCGGATGGGGAAGTGAAGGGCTCTCTGTCCGGTTCACTGTCGCCCCTCGACGAGTGTGTGGTGAGGGCTCTATAAATCTGTGTGCACGCGTTGTCGCTGGCGTGTGCCTGCTTGTGCGTGCCCCCCCTTCTCTGTGCGTGCGGGACTCCCCCCCCTTTGTGTCTCCCTTCACACTTCTTCGCGCACTGCTGCCGCCGCGGCGCCATGCTGTGTGCGTAGTGCTGCTGCCATTACTGCTGCTGGTGGTAGGGTTCGTGGCAGCGGTGTGGGCATGGGGCCCACCACACGACTTTGCCCCCTCCCCGCCTGTTATTCTTTCATTCTTTTCTCCTCCTCCTCCTCTTGCGGCTCGGTGTGGCAGCGTGTTCTCTTGCGGCACGCACATTGCACGGAAGAGAGAAGGGGTGCGTGGGTGCGAGAGGCAGGGAGAGAGATTGAGAGAGAGTGGCTGTGCCACAACATAGCACCACACCCACGCTTACGAACCCACACTTGCAATATACATATACGCAACCTAAAGGAAAGGGACGAGGAACACACACACACAAACGAAAAAGAAGAAGCAAACCAGCAACAAAGGGAAGTGAGACCAAAAACAACAACAACACAAACAATAACAACAAGTCAGTAGGGGCGAAAGGGAAGAGGTAGCGTTCACCCATCATATACGGAGAGAGAGAGAGAGAGAGATTCTGCGTGTGTGGGTGTGGGTGTGTGCGTATCTGTAAAGTACTTCCTTCACTCTGTGTCCATCTGCCTACTTGCCTGCCTGCCTGCCTGCTGCGTCGGGGTGTATATCTCTTCAGCGGCACCCGCAGCAGTCAGGGAGAGGGATCGAGTGCGAGCAGACAGGACACTGAGAGGCGCGCGGCGGGCCGCGTGCACGACACCGACGCGAGAGCTCCGCGGAGGGAATGGGCGAGATGCTGAAGGTTGCCCCAAGCGAGCTGCAATTTGGCGCTGTGGCGGTGAACGATGTGCCGGTGTACTACCGCTTCCGCGTCGTGAACATGGACCCCGTGGCGTCGCTGTCGGTGCAGCTGGCCGCTACCACTGCGCCGGGGGCCATGCGCTTCCAGCTCTGGGACGAGACGCTGCTCCTCGACGACGACGGCGACGGCGACGACAACAACAAGCGGCAGGACGACAGCGCCGCGCAGGACGAGGCGGCATCGAGTAGAGTGCCCCACACAGGGCGGTTGTCTCTCTTCTACAACGCCGTGTTTGAGAGCGTCAACACCATTGATCGGCTGCTCTTGCAGCCCCTTGAGGCGAAGGACGTCGTGGCGATCTTTTTCGCTGACCCGGTGCTGTTTTCCAATGTGATTGTGCAGGCCCCGCCGATGATGCTGAGCGGCGCTATTCACTTGACCGCAGCCTCGCTGACACCGACAGTCTCCACCACTGTGGACAGTAATGGGACACCCACTGCAACAACAACAAGAGCAACGGCATCTGCCTCGTGGTTTAGCGGTGACGGCAGCGCATTCACTGCACAGGCTTCCTCTCAAAGGGAGCGCCGCATCAGCAGCAGACCCACACTAGTGCCTTCTACGCCTTTGAGTACTACTACTAATACTACCACTAGTAGTGTTGCAGGCGGTGGTGGTGGTGGGACTATTGCGGGGTCACCGCTGCTTGGCGTCGTTCGTTCGGAGACAGTGACACTCCCGTTCAGCGTGAGTGTGTTCCTCTCAATGCTCACCCTCTCCAAGACCGAGCTGCAGGCAACGATGGCACCGAACAAGACGCAGCTGATAGATTTCGCCGTCACCAACGCCTCATCGCTGCCGCTACCGTTTGTGCTTCGCACGCAGACAATGCCGCAGAAGAACGTTGAGCTCGGTGTATATGAGGAGGAGAAGTTTGAGGAGCCGAAAATTGGCCGCACACTGATGCTTGACGGCCACGCGTCGATGAACTTCACCCTCATGGTGCGCACCACCGCTGCTGCTGGAAGCGGAGCCGGGGGTGCTGGTGGCGTGGCTGGCATGCAACACCACCGCGCAATTCTCCAGTGCGATAACCTCCGCGACGCACGCAACTCGGAGTTGCTGTACGTGCACGTGAACGTCGTCGCGGCGGAGTCGCAGACGGACCTTGTCAGCGTCGCTGATCCCGCGCTGGACTTTGGCGAGGTGTACCGCGGCACCAAGGCGCTGCGGGAGGTGAGCCTGTGCAACCTGACCCGCGAGGACGTGGCGGTGCGGCTGCTCGACCCGAGGCCGCGGCACTGCGAGGGCGTACTGAGCCTTCTCCGGCCCGGCAGCAGCAGCAGCAGTGACATCACCAGTGAGAACACAAATGGCAACAGCAATAACAACAACAATAACAACATCAATAACAGCCTGAATTCTACTGTAGTGGTGGATGAGGTGGTGATCATTCCCCAAAAGGGCCCCGTGCAAGTGGGTGTCATGTACGTGCCGTCCACCGACCGCGAGCGGAAGGGAACATCGAACCTCAAGTTCGAGCTGGAGTTTGTCGTCACTGGCAGCGGTGGGGACAGCAGTGCGGGCGGCGGCGGCAGCAGCAGCAGCAATAACACCAACCGGAGGACGCAGCGCGTGGTGGTGCGTTGTGTGGCGACGCTCTTCACCAGCACCATCGTCGCCTCACAGACGAGTATCAACTTTGGTGACTGTCAAGTGGGGCAGAGTCGCCGCTGCACCTTTGCGATTGAAAACCCGTCACCGCTTCCCACCACCGTCTTCGTGCAGCTGCGCAGCAAAATCATTTCCATCGAGGGAGTGCAGCCGCGTGTGTCGGCGACCGGCGGCCGTGAGACGGTGGAGGAGTTCTCCATCGCCCCGCAGAGCAGCCTGCCGCTCACGCTGCGCATCAACCCACAGCGCGTCAACCCCACCTACCACAAGCAGCTTACCATTGTGAACGCCTCTAACCCGGCGGAGGACCGCCTCATTGTGAACATCGAGGCGAACAACATGGCCCCGTCCGAGGCGAAGCTCCACAACGAGCTCTACTCCTGCGAGTGCAAGGTGAGCTGCGACGACGGCGGCAGCAGCGGCGGTGGCGGCCACGACGGCAACCGTGCGTCGCGGCTGCGCGCCATCACGAATGTCCCCCTTATTGTCGCCTACGTGCTGCAGTCGAAGGTCGACTACCCGCTCGCCCTGCACCTGCAGTGCTCCAGCGGCGAGATCACAACGTTCCGCCTTGACGGTGTGGCGACGGACGAGTTCGAAGCACTC